ACTGCATACACGTACACATGCGGATTTTTATATATCTTCTAAAAAATAACTTAAGATTGATTTGCAACAACTTGTATAAATAAAGATTTTTTACCAAAGAATTAATATTTTTTTCAATACTTTTACTGTCGCACTAAATGTAGAAGCTGGACAATTTGAATATTTCATCTAGCCTCTTCATTTAATGATTTAATGTATTTTTACTCCTCCGAAATATTTTAACGACAATTTATTCATTCATTTACATGTTATCAGATACATAAAATCAATATGTATCTGTGTTACCAAAAGTTTTATATCCTTAGCATTTTTTATTACTATAATTTTCTTGTAAAAGTTTTGTTATGCAAACAATACATACTGGCAATGAAAATTTTGAGATTGTGCCATTAAAAAAAATCGCTAAATCTTAGCACTGATTGAGGCATCCAATATGCATATATTTTCAATGAGGCTTATAGTTACAGGTTCAACACTGCATAGAATCGACACCAATTCTAGTTACGAACATTAAGCAACACGATAAAATCAAATTTTATAATGACATATAATAGTAAGAGAATTAATGCATATTGCCCCAGAAATACAACTAAGATAGAAATGTTTGAGATAATAAATATGGTTGCATCTCAAATAACTATGCAAAATCTTATTTCTTGCAACTAAAAGGCTGTTTACTCTGTATTATTCTTATTCTATTAAATGTCTACACTTCTTATTTACTAAATAAAAGCTTGTTAAATAAACAGGAATACATAACAATTAAGAATTTATGAAATTGATCCAATCCACGGTCCTTGCCTTTATTGCTAACCTGTATATCTATCACATGTCTGTGCACGCTGTTAATTTACTCCAATATTATTTAGTATATGCAATCATATTTTGAATAATGGCTGAGAATGAAATTACTTAAAAGTCTCTCCCCTATCAATATTTATCACTGCACTCGGTGTTTTACATTCAGACAACAGATTTCTCGAAAAGATATATGTGCCCATTTGTACTTCAAGTGAGAAAAAATACTTCATCATTAGCTAATTTTCACCATGGAGAAATTTTTTTAGCTATTTAAAAAAACTTTTATTACTAATACTTACTTCAAAACGAACAACTGCTATAAAAGATAGAAAAAAATTTAACTGTGCTCAGCGAGTAACAATGGTATGTATATCATTTTATAAGAAATGTTTAGTGCATGCTATTCTATAGTGGAAAAGATTTGATATCTGTAATACTTTTTATATCTATTACTCTACTAGATCATATAACTATTTTCTGAACTGGAAATGTTTATGCTAACTATCCTGAACCACTGTAAACAGTTCTAAAAGTTAAACAGGAATGACTCACACACAGAAATTTCACATTACTAGAATATGAAATTCAAAGTTCACATTAACGTTAAATAATAACTTTTACTTTTATAGGTCATTCTATAGATTTTGATGTAATCATTGCTAACATAAATGAAACAACAATTAAATTTCTGCAGGTAAAATATGCATGAAAGCATAATGTATATGTATGTGTATTAATAATATTTAAGAGATTAATGAGCATATGATTTATCTTCAATACACAATATGCATGTTTACTTTCGAAGAACACACATACACTTTATATGTTGATACACGAGAAAGAAATTTTGCATATATAAGAAAACTTTCTTACGAGAAAAAATGTAATCAGTTTATTTTTATTTATTTTTTTTTTTTTTGAATGCTTAGAACGCTCGTTCAAAATAGTCCACTTCTTTCCAATCGAATCGCGAATCCACCTCTTCGTTTTGCTATAGTGTTCTAGAAGTTGCTATTGTTCGATATTTTTCGAACCAAGAATGCGATGGAAGCATAACTCAGGTTCCCTGCAAGCTCTGATTTACACGGTGTACACAACAAAAAGTGGGCACTGTACTTCTTTTAAGTTATGCATATGCCCACAAAATAAAAAATAAAACGTTAATTACTTTCGATCACAACACGCTTCACAAACTAGGTAGCATTGTCAAACGTAAATACCGAGCTTTAATGTTTCTACCTCCTAGCCACTAGATGGCGTATCAGAGCGCTGGAATCGCGGATGGCATAATATGGCAATTTTGCTCAAAATAGAAAAAAGAAATGTAAATCCAGTTTGTCCTTGCTTCGTACCGTTCGCGAAAAGAGAGTGGAATATGAACCTATCAAGGAACTTGGTAACAAGGAGGTTAGAATAGAAGGAAGGAAGGTTCAATTCAAACGGTGAAGCTTGGCGGCCATGTTACTGTATCGCTGTGACTGTGCAAGGAAGTCCGTAATTACAATATTTTTTTTCTTTTCTTTTTGAAGCATGTCAGCTTGTGTGTATATGAACGCATAAACAGATTTCGAAAAAGGTTCCTGGATTACTTTTCCGCGTAAGTATTGATTTTCTTTTTTTTTTAATGTAATTTGATAAGTTAGGTAAAAAATATCACATGTCATGTGTTTTTCTTCCAATGTGAAAAAGGACTTAATATAATCAAATATGTTAAATACATTTTAATGTTTCTGTTTATAGCTGGATCTTTGTTCCTTAACATACAATGATGTATGCAGAATTTAAACTGTATAATTTGAACGTTTTAGGTAATTCGTTAGATAATTTTCATGAAAAGTAAGACACTAATTTTACTATTTTTTTGAATGTAAAGGTGTTAAACAAAGTATGATGCTTTCTTTATGTATTAATTATTATTAATTTTTTTAAGTTTTTGAACTGTAGAATATAATTTGCGCATTTGATCAAGATAAACTAACTTTCCTGCAAGGAGGTTAGAATAGAAGGAGGGAGGGTTCACAGTTTCCTCCACTGTCGGGGAATGAAACTCCACCCAACAAGCGGCGTCCATGTTTGCAACTTCAAAACATTGCATTACGGCAGTGAAACGTACGTGTTTTTAAGCTGTTCCGTGCATGCATTTTCCAGTAAAAATATGCCAAATTAATAATGAAATGCTCGCTATTGTAGTTTTTTGTTTTAAAGTTTAAAGATGAATCCGTAATTTACTACGTACAGAAAATCATAAGAAATAGTTCGAAATCTAAATGCATGTGCGAACATTAAAGCCTTTAAAAATAATGTTTCTGCATATTTTAAGAATTTGTTTAGGTTTTATTAGCAACCTGTTGGATGTACTTTAAAATTTTTCCTTTAAGAAGTGATATTTCAAATTTATTCACAATATTATAATTTATTAAAGAATCATTTAAAATAATTTTAACCTGAAATTAATAGCAGAGAATTATCTAAAAAAATAGTCACAGGTTGCATTTTTTTTTAAATGAAAGTTCTAATAGGTTCTTTTCAAACCAACACCTTTAACAAGAAAATAAATATTAATAAAATAAAACGATTTATGTGAATTCAGTGATTCAGTTATGCGCGTTTCATATTTATGAATCTCAAAAAAAATTGCTCGAATTAAGCTTAATTACAGAATATACCTATATAAAGTTTTGGATACATCTTTCCACGTGTTCAGTTGGTAATATTTACTTAGTTTTATTGCTAATCTGCCCACAAATTGTAGTTTATGCAAAAAATTTTAAGAACAGAACAGTTAGTTTATCTTGATCAAATGCACAAATTATATTCCTAACAGTTCACAAAACTAAAATGATAATAATTAATACATAAAGAAAGCATTACTTATTTAACACCTTTACAATTCTTAAAAACAGTACAATTGATTCTTACTTTTAAAGAAAATTAAAAACGAATTATTTAAAAATGTTCAAATTATAGAGTTTAAATCCTAGCGTATATCATTCTATGCTAAGGAACGAAGATACCAGCTATAAACAGAAACATTAAAATGTATTTAAGGTATTTTGATTATTATTAAGTACTTTTTTTTCACATCTGGAATGGCATTGTGATCAACATGGCATTGTGATATTTTTTAACATATCAGATTACATAGAAAAAGAAAATCAATACTTACGAATGAAAAGTAGTCTTAGGAATCTTTTTCGAAAATCTGTTTGTGCATCCATATGCAACACAAGCTGACATGCTTCAAAAAGAAAAGAAAAAAAAAAAAATTGCAATTACAGACTTTCTGCTCAAGTCACAGCGATAACAGGAACATGGCTGCGAAGCTTCACCGTTTGAGTTGAACCTTCCCTCCTTCTATTCTAACCTCCTTGCTTTTCTGTTGTTAAAAATTTTGTTTTTTGCATAAATTTACAAATTTGTGGGCAGCATAGCGATAAAAGTAAGTTAAATATTTACACAACTGAACATGTGAAAAGATGTATCCAAAAATATAGGTATAGGTATATTTCTGTAATTCAGCTTAATTCAAGGCAATTACTTTGAGATTCATAAATATGAAAGGCGCATAAACTGAAATCACTGAATTCACATAAATCTGTTTATTTTATATATTTTTTTCTTGTTGTTATAAGGTTGTTGTTATGAAAAGAATCTATTTAAACTTTCATTAAAAAAAAATGCAACTTGTGACTATTTTTTAGAAAATTATCTGCTATTAATTTCAGGTTAAAATTATTTTAAATGATTTTTTTAATAAATTACAATATTATGAATAAATCAGAAATATCACTTTTTAAAGGAAAATTGGAAAGTACACCTAACAGGTTGCTATAAAACCTAAACAAATTCTTGAAATATGCAGAAACATTATTTTTAAAGGCTTAATGTTATGCACTGCATTTAGATTTCGAACTATTTCTTAATGATAATTCTGACGTAGTAATTACGGATATTATCTTTATAACTTTAAACAAAAACTAACAATAGCGAAGCATTTCATTATAAATTTAAAATATTTTTACTGGAAAATACATGCACGGTAACAGCTTAGAAACATGTACTACGTTTCACTGCCGTAATGCAATATTTTGAAGTTACAAACATGGACGCCGCTTGTTCGGTGAAGTTTCAATCCCGACTACGAACCCTCCCTCCTTCTATTCTAACCTCCTTGCTTGGTAACCAATTATTTCGCTTAGATATTTGGGACGCCTAGACATAGTGCGTGTTGCATGTGAAATGTTTCGCGGGAATACGAAGTGAGATTGCGTTGTAACTTCATATCTGACTATACGATTGTTATTATTTACGTCCTATTTGTAATGGATGTGTGAAGGTCTTATTTTTAACAGTTTGTCACTTTGTGTATACAAAATTTGAGACTAAATTTGCAAGTGTATTAGAAACGTACGAAAGTAAGGGGAGAGGGTTACTTCTGGCTGTATCTTGATTCTGTCCGTTAAGAAAGTAAATTGATTAGATTTTTATTTATATTAGGTATATACTATTTTAATTAGTTAAATTGAACTTTCTGTTTAAGAAGAAACTGGTTTTAAATTTATATTTTCAGATGGCTATATCAGATGTAGTAAAACACGTTCATCTGTAGTAATCGCTCAACTATCAATAATATGAAAATTGAAGGTTCACTAAACTGGTTTTTTATGGAATAAATGTACTGTTGAGAAGTTGATGCATTATTAATTCAGAATAATTTTTAATTCAGAATATGAAAAATTATTTAGTTTATGAAATAATTCATCCTTAGAGGGATATTATGTTATGGAGTTTTTTTTTAATTCGGTGGCTGTTTTTTAACATTATAATTAAACTTCTTGAAAGAAGTGCCAGTTTGATAAGGAATGTTAGAATAGTAATACCTTATAACAATTCAGTTTTTGTTTAATTCCATAAAACTTGTGACAGTTTTATAAATTTGAATCTTTTTAAAATTTGATTCTCAAGTTTTCTCTGGACCTAAACACTTAGCAATGTTTGAGTAGTATTCATATTTCCAGCAAATAGGTTAATTAGCATAGGGTAACATGGCTTTGTTTTAAATATTAATAATGTATAACATTAATGTGCCTAGTTTCATTTAGAAATTCTGCAAAGGCTTACCTTGTACCTTAGACTGGTAGTTTGCACCTGTAATCATAATCAATTATTTAGTTTATGAACTAATTCATCCTTAGAAGGATATCATCAGACTTATCACTTGATTACAATATTTGTTTTTATTTTTTCTGCATCTTGCACTTTAGTTTAATTAATAATCTTTCTTGTTAAAATGATGAAATAATAGTTATTTTATTTACTCATCATTAAATATTTATTTGGAAAAAAATAATACAGAGATTGTAATTTTGGTGGTATGTTAAAATCATGTTTGGAATATTTTTGAAAGTTGACTGAAAAATCTACCTTCGAACTCTTCTGTGTCATATTTTTATTTGCAGCATTCCCTTGTATTGCATTTTGAGATTAGATGTTGGAGTTGCTAAATTTTATCATCAACCAAAAATGAAATGAAGCAAATCTCAAGAGCCTGAATTTTACATTCTCTATGATTAAAATAAGAATCATCAATGAGCAAATTTAATTGCTTTTATATAAAAAGTTAAAAAAAAAGGGGGGGATGAATGAACAAAATACTATAATGCTAAATTGGAAAAAATATTAATCAGAAATTAGAAGAATACTTTACTAAATCAGAAACTAAATTCTATACTAAATCAGATAAATTTTGCTATACTGAATCAGATAAATTTTGCTATACTGAATCAGATAAATTTTGCTGTACTACATCAGAAGAATTTTGTTTCATTTCATTAGCTGAGGTAGATTCTTACTGACAATGAAAATACTGAAGTATTTTATCTTTATTTTAACCCCTTAACTGCCGCGGGCGTATATATACGCCTTGCACTGCAGCGCTGCTACACCTAAAATTATTATATCGGCGCAAGGCGTATATATACGCCCGTGGCAGTTAAGGGGTTAATATAAATCTTAAGGCATATAGGAATTTAATGCCACTAATCCTAAACTGAATTAAAATGGGAGTGATTTTGAGTTTGTTTTATAAATTAACTATTTCAAATTTAGTATATGTTCTGTAAGGTTTTCAAGACTAACATAAAAAATATAAAAAGTGTTGATTTTGCATTAGTAATTCAGTCAGATGTTTAATGATGTGAAATTTATACTTGTCTGATAATGTTAAACTAAAAAAGTGCACCAATACTTAAGTAATTGAACATTATTAGTTTGTTCCACTGTATGTAGGCTGGCTGCTTTGGAGTTTTATGATTTTTTTACATGTAATACAAGTACAAGCCAATTTCTGTTGATAAGTTCTCCATGAAGCATCTTCTTAATGTTGATAATCCTTTTAAACTTTGGCATTTTCAATAAACTATTTGTAAATCTTTAACACATTGCTGTCTGACTAACTTTTTTAGGATGTAATAAGATAAATTGTTTGACACTCTGTGATCTGCCTGAGCCTTTTAAGATGTAGTAAGAAAATTGTTTAATATTTTTATATGACTTTTCATGCTTTATTTGATCTTTTTGCTTTTCAGGATTTAGACGGACTATGAAAACTGTAAAAAAGAAATCTGGTGTAGCCACAGAGAGCAGAAATATTATTTGTGAAAAACATTATGTAACTAATGCAGATGTAAAAAAGATTCGTGAAGAGCTTTTAAAATGGTATGACAAAAATCAACGAGTTTTGCCATGGCGAGATATAGCAAAAGATGAAGTGGATAATAATATTCGAGGTTATGCTGTTATGGTATCTGAGGTTATGTTGCAGCAGACACAAGTGGCAACTGTTATTTCATATTTCAATAAATGGATTAAGGTAAATTTTCTTACTCATTTTCTATTCAAACGTAAACGTTTGTTTTAAAAAAGAATATTTTAAAATTTATTACAAAATGTTGAAAATGTTTTTAGAAACCATTCTAAACTTTACTTGGCAAATAATAACAGTTTATATAAAAAAAAAAAAAAAAAGGGCATAAGGTTTTTTTGTCGACCTTTCTTGGCATGCCTTTGTGGTATAGTTGTCAGCACACTTGACGCATATTTGAGAGTTCCGTGGTTCAAGTTCCAGTGAGAGCATTGCTCATTTTTTACGACTCTTGCTTTGAAAGAACCTAATGTCTCTGCAGTGACGTTTGAACTAAAAAAATGTGATGGATATGATTTTCTAAGAGAATTGTCAAACTTGCCATCCATATAACTTTGGCATTGAGCACTGGCCAAAATTATGTGTTGTTTGCATAGCTGGATTGCCATTTAAATAATTTTTGGCAGAATCTTAAGTAGGCACAAAACTATTTAAATAGAGTACTGCTTTGTCTGATGAATATTTTTCATGACTTTTTGGTGGAGGTGCAGATCTGTAATGCAGTAAAATTACTAAGTAAAACCAGTTCTTAGTCTTTTTTTTCGCCAAAAAATATTTACTGAAAGTCAAAAAGTAGACTTTATTCAAAATACTAATTGGATATTGATGCAATAAGCCAAAACTCGAACCATGCATGTCATTTAGGCAGGGGCGTAGCTAGAGGGGGGCATCTGTCCCCGGGCGCAGAATCCAAGGGGCGCCAAACTGATGTTACGACATTTTAGAATTAAATGTTGTCCATCCTTGGCAAGCAGTAAGGGGCACGAAATCTTCAGTTGTCCCTGGACACTGAAAACCCTAGCTACGACTCTGCATTTAGGGGCTAATTCCCCCCCCCCAAATGAAGAAAAAGACTGATGAATACCACACATTTTCAGACATTCTTATTTAGTTTCGTGATGCTATTTCTTTGGGCCTTTATGCATTAGGTCTGCTCCAGTGAACTGTGGGCATCATCCTCCATACTTAGTTATAGGGGACTTTAAAAAGCTTGTTATGGCGAATTAAGAGCTCTAGTTTAAATCAAAGGACAGTAATAGAGAGTTACTAATGTCAACAGTATAATGCTTTCTGTGCATGCTTACTGTATGTAGCTTCATGGGTTAACATAAAACAAGCATAAATTAACTTCAATACATTAGTTCTAACAATTAATATTAGAAGACGGTTATACTTTATAGTATAGTGTATTAAAAAACAATATATAGTATTGTGAAACCTTAACATTTTTTAGAACAAATTCAAGTTATTAATTCTTCTCTTAGTGGAGTAGGATTGTTTATAACAGAAAATTCTTTTAATATGTCTTGGTTACAAAGTTAGACATGACATTAATAATCATAATTTCTTTTTTAAATGAATTTCTAATTTCTTTCTGAATCTAAATTAGTGCTGCTTCTAATTGTTCACCTGAGGGAAGTGCTTCACTTGTCTCATCCTTACTTTAGCTTGGGTCACCATAATGCATTTTTTACCATTTGCCAGTCTTAATTCACTTGCCTGGATTTATGAAAGTGTTGTAAACACATTTTAGTTCAGAAGTGGCACTACAGTCACTCTTCAATCCTCTCCTTCTCGCTTACTATGTCAGTCAACAAGCGCCAGCAGAAGATTGACTGCAGTGCTATTTCTTCTGAGCTAAAATGTGTTTTAGCATTCATATCATCACAACTCATTTGCATTATGACTACAACGAACTCTCTTTAAGCTGTAAAAACATTATGATTAATATTTGTAGCAATTTTGTGTAGAGTTTGTGGGGCAGACCTCTGTTATTGATAATAAGCATATTGAAAATTTTGGCACACTATTTTAGAATTTTTTAGTTTTGTCATGAATTATTTGATGCTAAGTAATGTCTCTTTGTGATCTCAACTTGGTGTATTGGCCATCAGCCCAACTGCCCTTTCATGTTAAACTTAAGTCTTATGGATAAAAATAGGGCTTCCTGTGCATTTTTTGCAGTTTCCTTCAAATAGAAGATGCCTCTTTCTCAACAACAAGATAATTAACTTTTAAATCTGAAAATGTGCTTTCAACTTTTTGATAGTACTGCTTTGCATCAGGGATAAATAGAAGGGCTAGGTCATTTCTTTGTTCGACTCCTCGCCAACGCGAGCCTCATGGAGGGGGTGAATTGGAAGTAATCTGACGTATCTGTGTTGCACCTGCTCTTATTTCGCGCGTTTAAAACTGTAGTTTCATTCAGTTGCGAAACGATTTTCTGGAGGTTGCATATCCCAAATTAATTTTAATCATACATATTTGTTTTATAATAATGCAAATATTTAGTAATTTGTATATATATCGATATAGTTTTTGTCAGTTTTCCTTTTAAATTCTATATTTAAAGTATCCTTTATGTAATATGGCTTCTTGTGCTGTAGCAACGTGCCGTAACGCTTATAGAAATACGAAAGGAAGAGATATTGTATTTCATGCTTTCCCAAAGGACAATTTGCTTTTGTCGAAAGAATGGATACATAAATGTTGAAGCAGGATTCTATTAATGTGAAAAAAGCAAGAATTTGCGGCGAACATTTTCTGTGCGGTGATTATGATTGACATGAGAAATCGCTTGCTTGATTGCCGCAAAAAGAAACTGTTGAAATGCAATACTGTGCGAAAGTAAATGTATCGTGTGCAAGTAAACGAAATAACATCAAGAAATCGAAGACATTTGAAAAGAAAACTAATGCAGAGTGGTTTTGAAAAACTACACGAATTAAGCCCAAAGAAAATTTATTTTGAGGCCGAGAACGAAATTGAAGCTGACAATAATAAATCAAATGTCAAGGATTTTGAAATAAAATTTACAAGTGATAGTATCCCTGAATGCCCTAAGTGTAAAGATAAACAAGAATGTATTTATAATTTGAAGAACAAAATAATATCCTTAGAAAATTGTAATAAAATATTGAAAAATAGAGAAAAAAGAAAAATTTTAGAATGTTTGCTCAGCGAAAAAGAAGGACAGACGACATCTAATAAGAAATTTGGTATCGGAAATTGAGAAATTTAAAATCTCAAATAGAGAAAGTTTAGGAAAAAAACAGCACGGATAACGGAGAATTTGGAAAAGTGGTCTAAAGCATATTTTTACAAAGGCGCAAGATTAAACGAATTGCTTAGACAAAGTAAGGAAAAAATCAGGTGGACTAGTGAAGATTTGCACGTTGCATTGTCATAAGAGCTCCGTCATCTAAAAAGCTACGGATTTTTGGAAAGAAAAGGAATTCCTGATGTACCTAAGCACCTAACATGACTTCAACGAGTACGTGAACATTAAATTTTATGTAGTCCAGGAATTCAGAGTGATGTTCTTGCTGTAATGAAGGAACGATGCGAATATTTGAATTCTGTAGAAAAAATATGCGTTCTCGGTTTCAACGAAAGCATATAGATTCTAAACTCTGCTATGACTCCAAACTGAACCAAATTCTGGGTCCTTTTCAAAAAGTGCAGTTTGTTTTAATCAGAGGTCTTATTTCGAAGTGAAAACAACCGATATTTTTTTATTTTAACACTCCAATGAAGAAAGAACTTCTTTTTTCATTCATAAGACATATTCAATCATCTGGAGTAGAAGTGAAAGCAATAGTGTCTGATTTAGGAGGATCTAGTACTTTGTGGAAAGAGATATTACAGATTTTGATTAATAGTTCTCAGTTTCCAAATACAGTATTACAAACGAAAAACAATATGGGTTTTTGCAGATTTAGCGCATTGCTTCAAATTACTGAGAAACCACTTTTTCTTATGGAACCTTCGGTTGATTTTTACATTATGGTAACTTGGCGTTTTTTTGGCAAAAATTTGGCGACCAACTCTCTATTTAAAAAAAAAAAAAAATAGAGCAACCCTCTATTTTTTTTTTCCCCGCGCCATTTTGTCTTCACGAAGTAAAAACATGTTTCTTTTCTTTTTATCTACTGAACACTTCTTCCAACAATCTACTAGCCGAATTACACTTATGCTAGAAATTTTCTCTAACAAAAACTGCTTAATCATGACAAATATTCACTGCAAAATTGGGAAAAAAAGTGCACAATACCATACTCCTTACGCGTTTTTCAAAATGACAACTAACCATAAACCATGTACACGCCGACTTATTTTTACTTAAAAAAAGATCCCAGAATTACACAAAAATGCCATTGCGCACACTCTTCACTATATCCATGTACACTGCTTTTTTCTCATAAATTAGAAAAATTTCACGAAAATACATGACAATTTTCTGAATCTTTAAACCCGGTAGAAAGAACGTATATGAAATTACCTGATCGCGAAAAAGTTTATACCCTTTCCAAATATGAACATTTCCACATATAAAATAAATAAAATATCCAAAAACTTTTACCTCTAAATCATCTATTATATTATACATGTCACCAACGAATTCATATCGCAAGCATTACAAATACTTAGTGTCAAATATTTAAATTATTTCCATGCACATTTACTTCAACTTAAATGTATACCAAATTCCTACAAACATAAAATTCACAAAATAACTATCATTTAATTAAAATATCACTAAACCATGTACGCGTCAACTTATTTTTACTTAAAAAAACATCCCAGAATTGTACAAAAATGGCATTGCGCACACTGTTCACTATATCCATGTACACTGCTTTTTTCTCATAAATTAGAAAAATTTCACGAAAATACATGACAATTTTCTGAATCTTTAAACCCGGTAAAAAGAACATGTATGAAATTACCTGATCGCGAAAAATTTTCAAATATGAACTTACCTGATCGCGTAAAAGTACATACCCTTTCCAAATATGAACATTTCCCCGTATAAAATAAATAAAATATCCAAAAACTTTTACCTCTACATTATCTATTATATTACAAACGTCACTAACTAATTCATACCTTTACTTCATTACAAATGGTTACAAATACTTAGTGTCAAATATTTAAATTATTTCCATGCACATTCACGCAAATTACTTTACTTCCACTTTACATTTAGAACAATGCATAAAAATAATATCCTCAAATAATTAAAAATACTAACTTACCTATTCTTCTTCAGAATCTTGATTATGTGTCCGATAAACTTATCTTATTTCTGTTTCAGGATCTTTAAAATCATACTTATAGTTAACACCAAGGTACCAGGTAAAATAAATAACTTAATAAAACATCTTTACTTCTATCTCGCACAACCTTAAAGAAACACTTATTACTACTCCTTTCAATCCCACTAAATACTCATTTCGAATTCACTTTAGTTAGGGCCATGGGATCCAAAAATTAACGAACACTGTATCATACTTATAGTTAACACCAAGGTACCAGGTAAAATAAATAACTTAATAAAACATCTTTACTTCTATCTCGCACAACCTTAAAGAAACACTTATTACTACTCCTTTCAATCCCTTAAATACCCATTTCGAATTCACTTTAGTTAGGGCCATGGGATCCAAAAATTAACGAACACTGTTTCACACAACACAGAATAAAGGCAAATACAAAATTTCCAGATTTTTTCCCGATTTCCCCCTTTTCCGATTAAAGAACCGTAATTCGTCCATTAATATCACATGACATATCACATGATCTCTCATTTCCCTCGCACAAAATAATGCATAATCGGAACTGAGTACTGCTCACATTATTACCAAAGTCCCAGGTAGTAACCTTTATCGCCTCCAAAATGTCGCCAAACTACCAGTTACCATATTGTAAAGATAAGCCGAACCTTCTTCTATGGCTTGGGAATTAGAATTGAATTCCGCCAGACAATTTTCGACCGTCGAAAAAGAAGCATTAACATATGTTGCAGGTTATATTGCCTACCGTGTGTGAAACAAAGACCCATCATTGGGAATAATATCTAAAAATAGTGCTGATGAACCAATACAGTCAAAAGTCGTTAATCCGGACTCGTCGGGACTTCGGCGATTCCGGATTATAGATCATCAGTTTAAATCTGGTTAGATGGCATGCAGAAATTACAAAATTAAAAATATGAAACCGTAATTTATGAAATAAAGGACAATTATGATCTAAAGGGTATCAAAATTTACAAAAAGAAAAAGCTTAATATTTATTTGTTTACTTTATTAAACATTTCTTTCAATGTAAGTTGTTTAAGTTGCTTCATTTCATGTGACAATACTTTCTCTTTAATTCTATTAAACAGACATAATTTTTTGTTTAGTTACAAATTTCCGCTGTTCAAGTCTTACAATTGCTGTGTCGAGAATACCGACTAATTTGTCAATCGAAATGTTTTAGTTTTCAATAACCTCTCTGTCACTTTCTTCACTATCGGAAGCGAATTATAATGACGAGGAACTTGATTTAAATCATATCAAAGACGGAGTACATCGAGATGAAATACTACATTTAGTAAGGAATTATAAGCCAAATAAAATAAAAACATCTGCCCTGAAGATAAGGATAGTGCTGACAGATCAACTTCCAATTCATTGCACGCCGCGGCGTTTCTCCCCGCCCCCCTGCCGCAGAACAGCGTGAAATTGATAAACAGATTTCGGATTTCAAAACATACTTTCGCTTTGTAGATCCTTTACATATTAGTAAATATATATTGTAAATTCTATTTGACATAACCGAAAGTTCAAGCTTACTTTTATAAAATTGCTCTAACAGTCTGCAAAAAATAATAAGCCGGATCCAATTCGAAGATTAAGGAACAATGCAATCTGCAACATTAACTGAATTAGATAATTTTAGCTTAGCTTATACCGTCTGTTATACATTAAACGCGCATGCGTAAACGTATTATGTGCTTACGTACACGCATATTCGCAGCTGTAAAGGTCTTACGCGCACGCGTAAATGCTGCATGCGCAGAAAATTTGTAGCTTTGAGGTCCGGATTATAGATCATTCCGGATTATGGGTGTCCGAATTAACGACTTTTGACTGTATTTTAATTCAGAATGGATTAAATTATTGTCTTTAGGAGGTTTGACTACACCTTCCCATTCATAGATGAATACAGTTTATGAGTTCAAAAACATATTTTGTGCAATTCATGGTACAGCTTACTATAAAGGGCAGCATGTAATTGGCTCTTTAATTAATAAACTGGAGAAACATTATCGTGAAGTTAACAGAGAAGCAATTCGTTTATTTTGCAAAGTATGAACTTTTATTAGAATACGTTTCTTAAATAGAAATGCATATGTTTTTTCCCAAAGAAAAGCAACCCAAAAGGACAAAAAAAGTGGATTGCTTCGAATGTGACAGCCAATAAATAATATTTCAACAACTTGTAGTTGCATTGTGACTGTACAAGTAAGCATTTAGATCATTTGCATTTAAATATAATCTGTTTTGATTTGAAATACTTGTAGATGACATTTTCAGAAAGTTAATAGCGTAAAGCATATTTCAAATGAGAACTAATTTTGTTAAGTTACTTGTTAAAGTTATTTTTATTGTATCCTTTGTGTCTAATTATTGATTCGATTTTGTGCTAGCTTAGCATTCTAGGTAAAATATAATTGTATAACATTAAAGTAATTGGCATAAGAAGACCTGCCTCTTTAACCCCTACTTTTGAAAAATTAAGTAATTTTTTTTAGGTACTGTGAGTAAAGTTGTTTTGTCTAAATTAAGATAACAATCTTACATGTATTTATTTAAATCTAATATTGATGTAAGCTTAAGTTACAAAATTATTTAAAAAAATATATGTTATTATATTGAATCGGGAAATATACCAATGTAAAAATTAACAATTAGGCTGAAACTCAAACTTAGATTAGCAGAAATTTTGAAAACTATGCCAATTTAAGGTTGCTTTTTTATTAATTTTAAATAGCTGTTATTAGTTATCTTAGAAGCAGTAGTAGAGTTCTCTTAATTAAATCTCAGATAAAGAAATGATTAGATATAAACAGGCATTTAAAGAAAAAATCCCTGCAAATAAAAAAAAAAAAAAAAAAAAAAAAAAGGAACTTAATGTTAAGAGTAGCGTATTTTATTTTTTATTTTAAAATTGAGTAAGTAATATTAAATTGAGCAATTACTATTAAATTTTTTAACGTTCAGTGTAAAACGCATACTGCAGTATTCCTCTTCTAAAGTATAACTATCTTTTACACACAGCTCATTTTAAACGCTGGTTCTTCAAATTTAAAACACTAATTTCTATGCTGTCAATTGCATCTGCGTGCTCAGTATCATCATGGCTACGTCATCACTCCCCGCTGCCTATTTCAGGGGAAAAAGCTCTATGAGCTAGCCCTTCTCTTTTAAGTCCTGGCTTTGCATAGACTGCACACGCATAGACAAATGGTAATATCAGAAATTAAATTGATAATAAAAATGCTTTTTTTCAATAATATATCATGCAGCAAGTGTATTAGTGCCATATGGATATAAAGTAAATATAATGCATGTGTATTGCAGTTTACAAGACACTCAGAAAAAATCTGAAACTATTTGCTTAATTTTATTAACCACAATAGCTTTGGTAAGATCATTGTGTCAGGCAAAAACAGCATGATGTTACAAAAGGTTAAACTAAGCCACAATTTTCTTGAGCTTTTCATATTCTAAAATAATCTAATGTTAAATTGTAAAACTTTTTCATAGGCATTTATTAGGATTTATCACAACTTTTGTTAATGATTCACGGTTATTAATTTTTCAAATTACTGGAAATTGTTGATATGATTTATACATGTGAATGAGTGTAAAATATTTATTTAATTTTGTTTTCGTTGAACTAAATAATGTTATTTGTATTAGAAGTGGCCTACAATTTCATCTTTGGCTGCAGCTGAGCTAGAAGAAGTAAATCAGCAATGGGCTGGACTTGGGTACTACTCCAGAGCTCGAAGATTGCATGAAGGAGCAAAGATCATAGTTGAGAAATTGAATGGCAATATTCCTCAAACTGCAGAAGAATTAGAAAAGCTAATTCCAGGAATTGGTGCATATTCTGCTGCAGCAATTGCATCTATTGCTTTTCAAAAAGCATCTGGAGTTGTTGATGGCAATGTTATCCGAGTTTTATCAAGGATGAGAGTAATAGGAGTTCATGTTTCAAAACCAGGTGTTAAAGATCATTTATGGTAAAGATGATATTTAGTTTTTAATATAATATCTGTATATTTAAATGAGATAGATTTCATCTGTGCATAGTCTTTGTAAATGTGCTAAAATGAACCAGTTTTAAATCTAATATTTGTTTTTTGGAATTGTATTCTTCAAAAGGTTGGTAGCTTTTAAAGAATCTTAATTTCTTAAATGTATTTGAATAATGGTGGAGATTTTTCTTAAGAAACTTTTAAAAGAACATTCTAACATCATTGGTTTTTCTTTCCAGTGTTGGGAAGATCACTGATATAATGGTTTTATATTCTGAAAGATCTTCAGAGTTATAAAAATTGTCATTTTTCATGTATCTTTAACATTAGACCGGGGGAGGGACTTTGGTAAAAGCAAATGGTTTAGGAATTGAAATCTAGATGATTTACTTACAGTAAACCCTCATTAACACAAATCCCAAAGGGCCAAAAAATTGAGGTTCACATTAAAAATTTCATGTTAACTGGGAACCCAAATTTTGTTTTTGGAAAAGTTTTTTCTATATATTAACCATTTACAGTAAATAGGTGCAGACATACTATAGTAAGTTATGTATGTTATCATAGAAAATACTACAGTAATACATGAATTACTGAACTGGATGCATGGTAACTTCATGACCAATGTACTTATGGCTTCGATAAAGCTAGTGACTAATTCAGGTGTTACTGCAAAATTTTCTGAAGTGTCTAAGGCATTATAACTTACTGGTGGGTGGGAGGAAGGATACTGTGCTCCTTACTTTGTTTGGATGACATTTCTTATACCTCAGACATAATTACTTATGCATCAGATTCCACTGGAACACACGTGACAACATAGTCATGTGCATTATTTTTGCTTTAAATTATTTTATTTATTTATTTGTTTTGAGCATGAAGCCTGATTTGCTACAAATTATTATTTTATAAATTTATTTAGAACTATATTTTATTTAGTGGACTTTTCCCCCCCATTTTTTTTAAAACTTTCATGCTTGTTATATATCTACTAAAATTACAAAGCATATTCAGAATTATTATTTGAAAGTTGGTAATGAGCTAAAAGAAGTTACCGGTGTGCAATATATATATATATATATATATATATATATATACAGGTTGTTTTCATCAGCATAGTGGTTACAAACTTTCAGGAGAGATCTATCTCTCCTGTGTTGTAAAACAATACACCTAGACATAGAAAGAAAACAATACATCTAGATATATCCAGTACACCTAGACGATCGAAAATCACATAGCAATGCATGGTCGGAAATGCTTTCCTGGTGCAGTAGTTACGATATGAAACATAAGAAATGAACAAACTGAAGAAAAAGTTTCAGCTTTCGAACATGAAATCAAAGTAAGAGTTTCTGCTGTTGAACAATAAATCAGTGATGTAGTTTCTACTTTGCCAAAGAAGTTGACAGCTTAAAGAAATCCATAGGTCTCTATAACATGCCACTTCTCCAGTAGCAGATGCAGCGGATATCCTTGAAACTCTGTCTGAAAGCCAGAGGCAAAACTTTAAGCTCTATCTCGTGCATTGGATCTGAACTTTGGGGAAAAGTGTTTAAAAGACTATAATAGGATTCAGTTAAAGACTTGCCTACAGATGTCCACAGAAACACTCCAGGAACTCGCCATGGATGTTGAAAGGCTATCTTATCTCACCTTTTAGGACTGCCCAACAGAAACAAGGGAAATCCTATTCCTGGAGTATGTTGTCATTTGCATCCAAGATCTTGAGATACAGAGGCCCTGTGAATGGCAGATGTCAAATATCTAAAAAGTGCTTTAATGTATGAAGTTCTAGCCAACCCAGCAAGCAACTCGTAGGTACAATATGTAAGTACCAAGTAATGTTTTGCGATTGTGAGCTACATATAACATGTGGATAGACTTTTAAGAAACGGAGATCTTTGTAATTAATTATTTTCATATTTAAATTATTTTTGTGAAGTTTTTATTTAATTTAACATTTTAGGGACCTTGCGAACAAACTTGTTTCTGAAGAAAGACCTGGTGATTTTAATCAAGCATTGATGGAACTTGGAGCTGAGATATGCACCCCTCAGAATCCTCATTGCACAGACTGCTCTGTTAAGGACTTTTGTCAAGCTTACTTAAAAGTAAAAAAATGTAATAACCTTTCTACATATTACATAAATATTATGCTAAATAATTTTAAATAATAATCACTGAAATTAGAATTTTATTTGCTACTTTCTGATTAACAGGGCCCTCTACCTGAAAATTTGCCAACTGTTGGCAACAAATTTTGCACGTAGCTAAGATGCAAAAGATAAGAACCATTTTTGAAAATGGTGACACACTAAGAATTACATAAAACTGTACTCAGTCAACATACTTTAACACTTTTTGCATTTTTTACTTGGTACTGTAAAACTGTACCAAGTAAAAAATGCAAAAAACATGCAACCTGTTTTAACTTCTAAATGCATCAGAAAATTGCAGAAACTTATTATCATAAACAATTTGGCATTCTGCCTGTGTGCATAGCAAACTGCTGTTGCTTATCAAAGACATCTGGGAATTGCACAAATTTGGCATTGCGCATGCTGTAGTTTTCCCATGTACACAGCAATTTTTTTTTTCGCTTTAGAAACCATCAGAGAATTGCACAAACTTTGATCCATAAAATTTGATGATTTACAAAGGACAGTTTCATGGAATGTAAATTTTTGCAGTGTATATTTAGGTAAAACAATGTATTTCTAAAGAAATGTAAAGCTTTCATATTTATCAACCAGCAAACTCGACAGTCTCATAATGATTCCTGGGAATTAAAATATGCCCTCAATTAAACAAAAATGAATACTAATGCCTATCGAATTTAACCTGTTCAGTGCCGCTCCCGAGTTATCTCGGGCTTACTGAGTTCAAATGCGGCACTGAACATAAAATTGAGGTTAAAGGTTGAAATTGAGGCTTGTCTTCTAAATGTTGCCACATAAATGCCACGTGTTCAAATACCTAAGTTGCCAACATAAATACATTTTGCTGATGTTTTGGGTTGCCTATGCCAATCTAGTTGATTGCCTTGTGAATGCTTTTTTTGGGGGGGAGGGAAAGGGGTGCAAATAATCAAAGTAATTTTTATTTAACATTAGTCAAACTCACTTAAAATAAGCCTGAAGGAGCTGCGATGTTTGCTTGTTATAACTGTGTCCACTTTGAAGACCATTTTTTTAATTGGTGTAAGATGTGTATATTGAAAAATATAACATCATTGTTAGAAAATTTTAAAAATAGAAAATGTTGGTCCTATAAAATGTGTCATGATATTTATTACGATAGCATAATATGGCCTTTTAGCATGTAACTTGTATAATTTGGGGTCAGTTTATTTAGCATGTGTATGTTTTATGGTGTTAAATGCTGTGGCAGACACTTATATAATAACAGAAATTTATTATGCATTGTTCATTGTATTAAATAAATAATTTATGAATTTCTTTATTAAATGTAATATGTTAAAGACATAATGTGTTGGATCCTAGATAAACTTACATTATCTACAGGAAATGCCAACTGGTGTAAGTGAAATAATGACCTTGTAATATGTAAGCATTTGAAGTGCGTTCTGCTCTTACAAAAATTCATAATTGTGAAACGGAATTAATAACTCAATTTAGTAAGAGCAGCGTTTAACATCCATGATCAATTCTCTCCCCCCCCCACCTTTTTTTGAAAATGTTCCATTTATATAAAATATCAGCTGATACTTCCTGTAGGAATGCAGATTTTTATTTTGGTATCAAGTTTATATGCTTGGTTGCTTATGTATTAATAATGTATTAGTTGAGGAGCAATTAAACGATTTCATTGAAGAATGGTAAATAATCTGAGTAGCATATCCTATAATATTATACATAAAGTTATTCAATGACTTGTTTGTCAAAACTTGCACTAAATTCTGAAACACTTCGGTATGTGTTCCTTTGGTGCCATATGCAATATTCTATGTATTTTTTTATTATATGCCCTCTTATCATTTCAGGGTTTTATTTTTCAAATGATTTCTTGAATTCATTGTTTTAAGTTTGATAGTGTCATTTAACTTGGCTACATAAAGAGAGTTTAATCAACTCTGTTTTGTGTAAAGAAATTTAGAGGTTAGAATTATTTGCAGAATAAGTTACCCTAGAAACTAATTTACATAGTATGTTTAGATCTTTTCATGTGAGCATCTATAAAAGACCATGTTTAAAATATAAAATTGTGTGACATTATTCAACTTTAAATAATGATTACATAAATCATTAGAATACTAATATTCTGAATGCTAAGGGAGCTACTTTGTAAGATATTAATTACCATCTGATACAGAAGACCCACTGAAGGGCTTAATATTTGGTATTTAAATCAAAAAGCTGTGATTGATTTGCAATATAATTTAATATGTAATTTAATTGGATGTATTTAGATCATTGCTGTTTATTACAAAAATGCATTCTAGGGAAATGCTTTCCATAATTTACATTATTAATTAATATGTGCCATTAACTTTCATGTTATACTAGTCGAGCATAATCTGCTTTTTAAACTAGGCAAAAAAGCAATTTACGTAGTGTCAGTGTTTACTATTAAACTTCAAGTTATAAAATACATATTTATGCCATAATTATTCATTTGTACTCTATTTTTTTAAAATTAATTTTATTGTAAGAAAATCGAGAGTAAAAAATGATGTAAATAATTTAACTGCCGAAGTATCTGGTTACAAAAAGAGCGTAACAAATAAAAAGTATTCATGGATAAACTACTGATAACTTTCACAATACTATTTATTTAACAGAAATCTACATTCCAATAAGATTGCATAGTCATATTTATATTGCAGTATCTAATAAGATATCTTCATTTCTACTTCCCTATATCTTGATCCTCTTCCGTTCTTATTATCCACCGCTATCTGCAGGTCTAAGTTCTGTGTTGTCTGCTACAGCTTGCAAGTCGTTACCATTCAGTCTACTTTCTGCCGCGATTTTCTGAACCATCAAAAGCATCAGGTATCCTTGGTTTCGTGAAGCTCTTCATTATATTTGCTTCATCAGTCAGAGCCCATTCACCATAAGTAGATCAATTCGTAAGACAAAAATGAGCTCTATGTGGACAAATCCATTTTAAAATTTAGAACTCACTTTCTGAATGCCTTGAGAAAGGAAGAATTATGTAAATACAGTGCAAAGTCTGAGATCCGGACTCGTCGGGCCTTCAGGAATTCCAGATTTGGGATTTTTCCGGATATTAGATCATTAGTTATAACTCTAGTAAGATGGTATGTAGAAATTATAAAATTAAAAATATGAAGTCGTGATTTAAGAAATAATGAAGCATTTGTGATCTAAAAGGCATCAAAATTTACAAATAAAGGCTTAATATTTATTTGTTTACTTTATTAAACATTTCTTTCAATGTAAGTTGTTTAAGTTGCTTCGTTTTGATGCTAATATTTTCTCTTTATTTCTATAGACAGTTATAATTGTTCAGTTACAATGTTCCATTGTTCAAGTCCCGTAATTGCCGTGTGATGCATTCAGATTAAGTTGCCAATCAAAATTATTTCATTTTTAATAACTTGTCTGTCACTTTCTTCACCATCGGTAGTGGTATTTTTTGGATCTAGAACCATACTACAAATTTCGCTGTCCATTAATTGACTGATAATTGGGGTTCATCGTAATAAAAAATTTTTTATATCATCTTTATTCTTCTGTTATATATCTTTTCATTTATTAATGCTTCTCTACATTTCTTTACGAAATCCGTTAATTGGAAAATTTCACCTTTGGTTTGCGATATCTAAAAATCTTCAAATTCGCGGCTACCATCTTCATCATCCTACCGTGAAATGTGGAAACTGGCTATAAATTATGCCGAGCACTTTTCAAAGTATCTGGAGACACATCACCCGTGGTCTTGCAGTGCTCCACACAGCAGATTATGCTAAAATATTAACAAAATTCTTGAATAGGATGAATGATGGACATACAGTTTGAAGAAAATAATAGTATGGATACATTATCTTTCACTAAAACTTAATTGAAGTGTGATCCGAACAGTTATCTATACATTCAGGGCAATTTTTGCGTCAATAGGTAAACCAACCGAATTCAAATGTTGTCGAGCCTCTGGTATGAGCTGATTTTCAAACTAATGATTCATTAACGCTATTGTCATTCATGTGGTTTTATTTGCACGATATATAGTGAGGAAAATCTTTACTCCTTTAAATGCTCGAGGTCGTGTAATTTTTCTGATTACAAAAAGTTTCCACTTGTGCGTTCCTGCAGCATTTGCGCATCCTAAAATTGTTAGTCTCACTTTTTTGACACCAGTTAGAGTCTTTTCTGTAGAGCTTGCCAAGGTGTTTCGCGGTACCAATTCCTGGCCAGAAAAGACCAGTTTGACCAGGTTTACACTATTAATGAGTTAAAGGAATTCATATGCAAATAGTTCAGAAGCTTCAGTATTAGCTGAAGCTGATCTTTGTTGACCTTAAATTTTTAATTGCCTTTTGAAATTTTGTTGAACAACCTGTCGAATATGTGCATTCATTTTTTAAGTTCATTTCTTCAGGAAATATTTTTACTTCAGCCATTAGCATTGGACCTGTCAATGCTAATGGCTGAAGTAAAAATCGCCATGCTGCAAAGTTGTCTGACCATCACTTTTAGCATAACGAATAATTTTTCAATTTAATTTGTTAAATTTTTCCTGTTTTCCTTGCAAGTGTGGTGTCAGAATCCCACAAAAATTCAAGAAGTTTCTTTTTCTGTTTTCTTATGTCATATACAGTTGATTTTCCCATGCCATACTCTTTGAGATTTTGAGACGAATATACCTTTATCCATTTTTTGCAGTAATTCCAATCTTTGTTTGATGAACAATGAAACATGCTGTTACTTTATAGATCCTGTTACAGCTCTAGAATTATTTCAGCATAATCGAAAGTTCAAACTTTAATGTTCATAAAAATGCTGTAATAATAACGTGAAAAAAAAAAAAAAAGAGCTGGATCAATTCGGAAAGTTAAGGAACAATGGAATCCGCTATATTAATTCAAATTCATTGGAATCTGTAAATTATAATTTTAGCTTAGTTTAATAGTGTCTGCTATACGTTATTGGCTGTGTATGATGAGATTGGAAGACAAAAGTTGTTCCGCTAAATTTTGTCTTGCTTCTATCATGCACTGAGACAATTAAGCTTGAATTGTATTAGTTTAGTTGTTTATTATACTTACGTCTATTTCTTGCACATCCTTAAGGCTTATCTAAGTCGTGAATAATTAAATTTCCACCATATACTTAAGGCTTATCGACAGCTGGTGCTAGATATCTTACCGCCTGATGTAGTCTCTGTGGGTCCTAAATTCTGTTACCAAGTGTCTCCCTAAGTTCTAAATTTTTGCCGCCCCTAAATTTCGTGTCCCAGTGCTTTCCCTAAATTCTAAAAATTTTGTCATCCCTTAATTTTGTTGCTCGGTGTTTCTCTTAATTCCAAAAATTTCATCTTCCCTAAATTCGGCAATACGAGCTATAGCGCCGGTTCTGGGTTTATGTGAAAACAAATCAGTTATTCTTAATTCAAATAGCACTAAATGTCAAATATCTTTTGGTTTATGAGTATCATGAATAAAATCTATTTTCAGCATATGGGCAGAAATTTTTGTTAAATTTTTCCTTGTCAACATTTCTTAGAGCATTTAACTTTAATCATCACCTTTATATCAACATAAAAGGTTATCACACTCTTTTATTCAGTTACTAATATAAAAAATTGTTTAGGCATTGCTGTATAAGTCATTACTCAAGTTGTCATATGCTGATAAGCAAGCAGTGATGGAAACAAAATATAATAAATTGTGATTTCCCAGGTTGTCGTTAGGAATATAAAATATTAGTAGCGTAAAATCAACGATGTTTCTACGTAGAATGTTTTGGTTGGAGATGCATGCCAAGCAGATACGCAGTTACAGAGGCAAATTATTGATCACACAAATTTATGCTAAAATAATTGTTTCTTCAATAAAAAGGTATTTGATTTGATGCTGAAGTGAAATTAAGAATCGGAACTTTCGTCATGTTTTATTGTAGGAGGAAAAAAATCAAGTGCGCATGCGTAAAGCATACAAAAATAAAAAGGTTGTTGGTGGCTTTTTAGATCATACCATATATTGGACATCCGGATATTGGACTTTGTACTGTATTAAAAAATTTCAGAACCTTTCACTAAAAGGCTGGGAGGAATATTATGCATGTATATATAAATGATAAAATTAAAAAGAACTGTAATCTGAGTTTGGTATTCAGATTTCAGTTTAATACCTAAAGCAGTTTTAAGCTAAGCAGTTAAGATAGGCCAACTAATTTAAGAATCAAGGAAATTAAAAATAGTATAAAATTTGATATTTGAAATGAGCTGTTAAAAATGACAAAGCCGAAAGACAAGAAAATAATTTTCTTCTCTCTCTCATCATAAATTAACATAACTGGATTACTTGTACTCTCATTTAATAGAGGAAATAATTTAACTGTTCAACATATAGGTTGAATGATTTAATCTATTCATTAGTAAATCCATCAGTACATTTAGTTTTCATTTATTTCTGTGCATTATTTTCTGATAAGTACCTCTTCAGAGTATTTAAAAAAGGAATCTAAATGCAGTATGCTTTGTCTAAAGCTGGCATTTTACAGCATTCCATCAGCAAAGTAGAAGTGAAAAGCCAAGAAGGTATGTTTATGTTAGTAAATGCTTGCCTATTTGGTAAAGTATATTGGGGAGGGAAAGCACAAAAATGATGATATTATTTTCTTGGTACTTTTACCTTTGAATTATTGTGAGATTAGCATATGAATGAAGAAAAATTCATTTTGATTAAATTAAATGTATGGGAATATATATTGCCTTAATTACTGTTACAGATATTATAACTGTGTTGCATTTTTAAAATTCTTTATTTTCTGCAAGTTCTGAAATCTAAAGTTTTTTGCATTGTCCCTGTACTTAAAATAAATAAATTAAAAAAGAAAAAGGAATTGTAAATAATTGTAGCTATAACTTGTGTATTTTTTCTTTGCTCATAAAATATTACAATATTCTAAATTGTTTTGCAGCTACTAAAACAGGAAAATTAGATTCATATCTAAAGAAAAATTCATGGACGAGAGGCAAAGTAAAACCATCTACTGAAGATAGTGTTCCTGATATTGAAAATGGTGAGTTACATATAATAGATTATTTTAAATCTGTCTTTTTGTGTATGATATGATGAAATGTGAAAGAGAAAAAATGAAGTAATTTTGGAATATTTATTAAAGTATAATAAAATACGTGTATAGTTGTATTTACAGTGTTAAAGAAAAGAAAGAAAAACATAACATATCCAAAAATTAATTTGTATTGAAAGGCAGAAGTATCAAAATGTTGAACAATAATAATGTCTCTTGTTGCACTCAGTAAAATACTGAGGAGTTGCAAAGTTGATTCTATCCTAAATTTTTTACATCCTTTTATCTAAGCTGTTCAATTTCAGAAAAGGATATAATGCCACAATACTTGGGTATAAATTTTAATCAAATAAAATACAGTGAATTGTGTTGACAGTTGTGTGTGTATCATTTAAGTTTAATATGTTTTTTTGGGTGATTCTGCTAGATAGGCATCATGTATGTAACCATATTGTCCATAAATATTAATTCTGAATTTATTTTTCATAAAACTGAAGTGCATACAAAAATCAGATATTTTAAATTGTGGCTTGAATCTTTGACATAAAAAATGTCTTTGGAATCTTTCCATGTTTTTTTTTTTTTTTTTTTTTTTTTTTTTTTTTTTTTTTATGTTACTTTATCTTACCATGTATTGTAATGGAACTGGCAAATGTTGCCATTATATGAAATATAAGATCTTTTTCTTCCGTGCAGAATGACAAGTACTTAGCTTATTGGGGATTGCCCTTCAGCATAGGATATGATCTTTAATTTATCTTTAAAATTATAAGTGCTTCATTAAATAGATATTTAAAAGCAATAAATGCATTTGAATTTTATTTTTTAATAATTCTAGCCACTTACACAGCCAGCTGCCTAAAGCAGTTATCCCCCTCAAAAAAGAACTATGTATTGATTTTAATGTGTTCAGCTACTATAATTTCATTAAATTTTAATAATAATCCAAAAGTATTGCTTTTTTTAAGTATTATTTTACTTATTTTTTATTTTAAGTATTATTTTTTTAAGTATTTATTTTAACTCAAAAGTATTATTTTACTAATTTAATTAATCATTCCAGTCAAGCAATTCTAGACTCTAAATGTGCAATATAAATTATATAATGAGTTGTCATCAAAATTATGACTTATTGTATAATTTCTTTAACACTGCTACCGCTTTTAACTATGTTCTTCACCACATGTTAGGTTATGCACTAGAAAATTTACTACCACCATTTTTAACTATGAAAAAGACTTGAATGAAAAAAAAATTTTTTTAAGCATTTTATTTTTCCATGCATGAAAACATCTTATTAAATACCAAAAATGAAATATGAATCTGCTTATTTCTTTCCTGCAGATTTTCTCTATGCAACTATATGTTATTTTTAGTATGCTATTCTGTTTTTTAATATACTATATTAGCAGTATTGATATTATTTCAGATATTGATTGTTTCTTATTTTGCTTCTGAAGAATTTTATGAAAGGCCCATGAGGTAGTTCTGACAAATCTTTCTCAAAGAAAGGCATCGTGGAAGGAGTGTTAATGCAATATTATAATGAGATATAAGATATCCTAGACAGGCTAAACATAATGAATACTGAAGAATTTTCATATGAATTATTAGCACAAGTTCAGTTAGGTTAGCATCTGCAGTTACAATTTGTTCATCTAGGACAGTGCTTAATCTTCAAATTACAGTATAATATATCAAAGAAGATTTTACCTTTAAACAAATTGAGAAGGGCATAGAATTAAAAAAGAATTCTATATCAATTACATATAATTACATATAAGGGCTTAGCAAAATCTGTTATAAATCATTGAGGGAAAAAATTTTCAATTCCTATTTAGATATGTCACAAACAAAATGCATTTTTATTGAATTCAGTAAAATTAAAATTTTTTAAACATATTAAGAATTGCATTTATTGTTTTTTAAATCACTTAGTTTGTCAATCAATAAATAGCAGACAGATTAAATTTGCTAGTTAAAATATCTTATGCATTGCAGAGCAGCAACGCACTGGCGCGGAACATAAAAGTGCTTTATTTTGAGCAGTGGTAATATGTTGCTTTTAAATCTATGAGTTTTTAATCAAACATTCATGAAATTTGAAAAACATATGAAATAAAAAAAAATTCAAACTTTAAACTTTGGGCTTCAAGGTGCTCAGGTGGAAAACCTTTTGTGTTCAAAAATAAGGAGGCTATCAGTGCTGCCATTTTTACACAAAATGAGAAACAAACGGACAGATAGAGTCCGAAATCCAGATGCCCAATGTCCAGAATGATCTAAAATCTGGATTTCTAGTCCACCAGCAACATTCCAACCTTTCTTTTTTTTTTTTTTTTTTTTTTTTTTTTTGTGTATGGTTTACTTATATACATTTGATGCTTTTCTATAGAAAACATTTAGAGAGCCCAAATTTTTAGTTTTCCTCCAGCCCTAAATAAAATACCACCATGTTGGAGAAACGATTGTTTATTATTACACCTACTAAATAATTTCTATCTCATGCCCCAACTGCTTTCATCACCACTATGCATATTCATTAGAATTTAGAGAAGGTATTTAGGTACAAAACTTTTAGAATTTAGGAAGGCATTTGGTAGCAGAATTTGACACATAGAGACTGCACCAGGCCACAGAATATCTTGCATTGGCTGGATAAACTTTAGGTGTATGTGGGAGTTCGTTTATTTCGGACTCAGATAAGCCTTAAGCATATGCTGGAAATAGGCATAATTATGATAAATAACTAATATAGTTCAGTTTCATCAACATGTGATAGAAACAAGATGAAATTGAGCAGAACATGCCTATTGTTGTTAATCTCGTGATACATCATGAATAGTGTATAGTGGATGTTAACTAATCTTTGAGATGATAGTTGCAAATTTGAAGGTTTTCAGATATTGCAGACAAAAAGAGAAATTTCCCAATAAATGGAATTTGTGGAGAATGCTAATAATAAATGAAGATGATGCAACAAAGGTTTTTCATTGGATGACCATGTCCCAGTTACTAATCAACTAATGGACTGCAAAATATGTAGTATGGTTCTAAATGTAAAAAATATTGCTATGGATTATGAAGAAAGTGACTGAGAGATTGTTGAAAGCAAAAAAAAAAAATTAGATTGATAATTCAGTTGGAATTCTCGACATGGCAACCACAGGACTTCAACAGTGGAACTTTGTAACTGATCAAGAAATTATGTATCTATGGAATTAAAGAGAAAGTACTAACACAAAGAAACTTAAAAAACTTTCATTGAAATAATTTCATTTAATAAACAAATAAATATTGAGATTTATTTGGGGGAGTTTCTTTAAAATCATAAATGCATATTTCATATTTTTAATTTTAAAATTTCGTCATTTTGTTAGATTTAAACTGATAATCTAATAATTTAGGTTAAAATAACACACTAAACAACGATTATTTTAGAAGTCGAACAACAAAAATTAGTATTATATTTGCAAATTTTCCAGACTAGTTTTGATGGTCTTAACCATCTCTTCAGCTGCAAAAGTGCAAATGAATGAGATGTGATAAGATAAGAATGGCTGGACAGGAGTTAAGCTAATGGCACCATCTATTGATGAAACAAGAAAACTGAAACATAACTTCCTTAAAGGCTGAAGGTAAAGACCGATTGCAATTAGGGTCATTAGCCAGAACATAAAGATTTTTTGAATGTGAAATGCCTCTAGAAAATCTAATTCACCAATGGAAGATGTTTTTTGAATAATTTTGGCTGCAGAAAAATGGAAATTGTGATTTTCAGACCAATAGAGGACTTCTGTGTTTCCTTTTTCCTAACATTTGCCTCATGTTCTTTAACATGAAATTTTAAAGCTCTCATAGTTTGACAAATGTAATGAAACCGCATTGGCAAGGAATCCTGTAAATATCCCAGGAATTCATATACGGAATGGGGTATGGAACTGAGAATGTTATTGGTAGGAGAATAAATGACCCAAAAGTTAAAATTCTGTAAAATATGTGCTGTTTTATAGTTAACTGATGGAAAGAAAAGAATGACAACAGAATTCTTATAATCTCCTAAAACAAGAATATGTTTTTTGGTGTGTTGAGATGAGAATTTTTTAACTGTTTGGTTAATAATGTTGGATGAAAAGCCCCTGTCAATAGCAACTGCTTTTAAATAATTTAGTTCTTGATCAAGAACCAGTTTGGAGGAGCAAACTTTAAAAGCACGGAAAACAAAGATATGAAATGAAATTAACTCCTGTTTAGTCGCATGACATGATTTGAAGTGTGGTAGAAGGCAAACTGATGAAGGTTTATGGTAAACAGTAGTACTGAAGTTGAATGTGTTACATGTGACCAAAATGTCGAGGAACGGAAGAGAACTGGATGTCTCAAGTTCAAAAGTGAACTGAATAGCAGGATAAGTTGAATTCATTATGGAAAGGACTTTATTTAAATTATCTTTATTACCGTCAAGCAGGGTAAAAGTATCGTCTACGTAGCTCAACCATACCAGGAACATCTGGTATGGTTATTAAAGTTTTAATTTGCAAAGTTAAACATTATTATTGGCTAAAAGATTCCTTGCGTTATGTAATTATATTGTTATGCGAATCATATAACATGGATTAATTTTGAAATAACGTGTTTCAAAGAAATTTAGTATAAGTATGTGATTAATTTTAGGGTAATTTTAGGGTAGAAATGATAAAATCAAAAATGAGATTTAAGGGGGTATTATATATTAGTTATAATTTTGCTTTATATATTCTTCATAATACACATACACACAGAGAGAGAAACTGTTCTGAAATACCATATTTTTAAGTGCAGTTGGCTGTTGTGCACAAATAAAAAAATAATATCCTGTCAGTGTATAAAATGAGAGGTGAAATGTTAGTCTTTATATATTTGAATTTTAAAATTCATTATTGATAATAAAATACTTGTTTTATTACTTTTTCATTAATTAAACATGTTTTATTAATTTTCCCCCTGTGTGAAAGTAGTTTACATCATACAATTCTGGTAACATTTTTAGCATCAGTTTTGCATATGACAAAAGTCTCCCCTTTTTCCTAAAAAATCTTTATTAGGATTAAAATCTTATTATTTAAAGGAACTTTTAATATTACTTATTATTTAAAGGAAAATTTAAATTATCAAAGTTTCCATATGCTAAATATCTACTGTATTTGATTAATTTATTAGACTGAAACCATAGACTAAAAAATATTTAGGCAATAAGATACGACATATTATAGAATTCGGTACAACTCTGATATACGCTCTAATTTCACCAAATGTGGCGATATGTGTTCTGCGCTGGTTCTTGGCGCGATTGCGTGTTCTATGGCAACCCTGTTGACGTTAAATAATCTTTCGCTGGAGCTCGTTGATTCGCGTCTGTGTCTGAGAAGATGGGAGGGAAAGATAAAATGGTAGTTGTTAAATTGAAGTTCGGCAAAAGGAAATATCATTGTGGCCATCCTGTTGAGGGGTAGCGTGGGTATTTGGAGGTGTGGAAAGAAGGTCTGGAGAGATTATTTTTAATGGCTGTGCATGATAGAAGGGATATGTGATTTTATTTATTTGTGAACCATAATATGAATTTTCTGGAGTGTGTCTGGCTGTCATGTAAATACGATAGTGATTACATGGCGGCATGTTAAAGGCGGTATGAAATTGGTATTTCTGCTGCTCGAAAAAGCATTAATTCATGGTAAGTGCATTTTATTTTATTCTTGTTCTTATTTTTGTAGAATGTTATGTTCATTGGTTATTTAGTCTGCATTTCTGTCGTTATTGTTGTTTTTGAAACAGAACGCTGTGTACATGGTATTATTTGAAATTTATTGTTATTATGTTATTTTATTAAAGCGAGGTGTGCATAGATCATAGATTCGTTCCTTGCCTAAATTGTGCAATTCGTAGATGTTTTTTTTAAGTTTAAACAGGATGCTGTGTACGTGGTATTCTTTGAAATTTATTGTTGTTATGTTAATTTATTAAAGCGAGGTGTGTGTAGTTTGTAAATTTGTTCGTTGCCTACATTGTGCCATTCGTAGACGTTTTTTTAAGTTAAAACATGTCACTGTGTACATGGATTCTTGTCAAATATTTTTGGTTAGAAACTTTACGTTTTTGCTATCTAAATTTTTTGTTTTTGTTTTGGATTTTTAGCTTAAATCGTGTGTTCAAAACGTAGTTTTGCATGCGAAACCGCGTAGTTTTTGTAGCGAAAACCGCGTTTTTGGAGACATTTTTGGCTTAAAGTTCGAAATATAGACAAAAAATTTAGATAGTAATATGGCAGCGTGAAGGGCGAGAAATTTGGTGACTTGAGGGCGCATATCAGAGTAGTTCTTAGAATTCTTTATTGGCTAAAAATTATTTATCCAATGAAGAATGACATTGTGTAGTTTAAAAACAGAGTTTAGAATTTTAATTTGAATATTGCTTATCACTAGTTTTGAATTGAAATATAAAAATGCAAATCAATTCAGACAGGATTTCTGAAATTGTCCTAGTTCATTTTAATTTTTATTTTGATAACTGCAATAATATATTTTCAGCTGCTGATTGTTATTTTTGCTTGCCTGATTCTGTATGGGAAGAGAAGTAAGTTGTATTTCAGATTTATTCTTAGTTATTTTATAGGATATTATTCTCCAATTTTATAATTTTAAGAAAAATAAGTTGTATTCCAGATTTATTTTTAGTTATTTTATAGGATATTATTCTCTAATTTTATCAGTGATTAATTAGAAATAAAAATCGGTGCTCAACTGGCTCATAATAACATTCAATACAAAATTGAAATGAATGATAAATCCACTATTTTTAAACAGTGATAACATTTTGGAATTTCATGTAGATAGAGTAGGCCCTTATGTACTGACCAGAATCTCTAATGTTTTTATAAGACAATCACTATCAAACCTGATTGAGACCATTAAATACATTTATTCATGATCACTCAAACATTTCAGTTTTTGGTATCAACCTAAAATCTATTAATGTACATAAATATTTATATATATCGTCTGTACAAATTGTGAAATATATTTCCAGCAGCAGAACTATTTTGTATGAAAAAAATGTTTTATATACTATATATCTGAAGCATGAATTTTATGCTTATCTTGGCATGATGCAGCTTATGGTGTAAGTTTGTTTGTGACACAGTATACTTATGCACAGTTTATGTTATATGTTATGCAGCTTATTTTATAAGTTTGTGACACAGTATTAAATGATCATTACATTACTAAGTTCGTATACTTTTCTTCTGTTCCCTATCTCTGTTAATAGCAATGTGACAGGACAGGAAACCACGAAATAAGCAGCTGCACTGTCATGAAGACTTATCAGCTTATTTGCTTATTATATGGGGTCATCCACTATCTGCTCTTTATTACAAGGTTCGTACGGTCCTTAAGAGTCCTTAAGTTTTTTGGAATCGATTTTTGGTCCTTAAAAGTCCTTAATTTTGGCCAAAAGTGGCAGAAGGTCCTTAATTTTAATCATCTGAAATTTCTGTCTGTTTTTACGACTGCCATTTTGAGTGTGAATTAGCATTTTGCAGGAATATTTTTGGCAATTCACTGACAAATATGGCTATTTTTTTAATGGGTTCATGAGTTATAATTTGTTCCTATTTGTAATATAAATGATGGTGGGATACTCGAGTTTCTGAACAAGAAGTGAAGCATAAGCATTTCAAAATTATTTCATTTTTTGTAGTGAAGAGCTTTCAAAGAACTTTCCGCTTTTGGGGATGTGAATTCTTTTATTAAACGGTTCTAAATTTGGCGATTATCAACATTTTGGCGATTTTAAGATTGGTTGTATAGAAAATTTTTAATTCCGAGATCTGGGAATTTTTTGACGATTTTTTAGAACATTCTAACATTGTTAAATTTCATTAAAATAATGGTAATATATTGGAATTATATTTAAGAAATAACATTAAAATAAAGCATTTTTCTTTTTCTTTGTCATATTATAAAGTTTCCATTTTGGCCACATATATGTACAATTTTTTGGATCTGAAAAATAAGCAAGGAATAATGCTATAACAGTACATTAACAGTTTTTAGCAAAAGCAAAATAGGCTATGTAAAAATGTCTTTTTTAATTTTTTCATGGTGTAAGAATTTTTTCCCATTTCTCAGAATGATCAGAATTCTCAGAAAATGCATTAGTTTTCTCTATAAAATTAATTTCACACTTTTTTCCTCTGATTTTTTTTTAAAAAACATTTCTGGCTTTTTGCTGTTACAGAATTGGTAGGGGTAATTTTTCTTGAGGATTTGAGACATTGAAGCTTGGAAAATTTTAGAAAGATTTTAAGGAAAATTTATAGACCCGCGATTCTAAAAGATTCCAGAAAAATGTGATTAGTTGTGTCAGCTCTGATAAATTGTAATTATTAGTCTTTCCATTACTGCTGTTGACATTTGAGTTTATTATGACAATAGAGTTACTGAACCAGATTAAATTGAAATTAAATCGTATAGTCCTTGACCACTAGTCCATATTTTTAGTTTGAATTTGACTTTTCTTGTTTAATTATATCACCACAACCTGTAAATGATTTTGTTAGCATAAGAACAGGCCTATATGTCCCAAGTTCTTTTTGAATAAGAAGCTTATTTAAATTTATTATGTGATTTATAGTTACTTTCAGACATAGTGATAATTTGTTTCACATCTGTCGGGGGGAGGGAAGTTGGACTATTTAACTTTTACCAGATCAAGTAAGCCCTCATAGGTAGTACATTGTAGAGAGGTTGGCAGTTGGGAGATAAAACATGCAGAAACTAATGAGAACATTGTTTTGCATATTGAGACAAATTTCTAATTGTTAGAAAACATGTTTAAGGAGAAGGAAATCGATATAAATTAGCCAAAATGTCTGGGCAAGTCTTCAAATTAAAAAGATGCATAATTATTTTGTTGAGTTTTATGTTTTGTAGCTTTTAATGTGTAATTATCCTAATATTGTTTTAAAATCAATGTCATAAATTGCATGTATTTTAAACTGTGAAATTTTATGAGATTGTGATATTAATAGGGTTTTTTAACAAATATTATTAAAAAATAAATTTAATTTAATAGTGGTAATTTAATAGGCATGTTTATTGGTTGCATTATGGGAACTGTTCACTGCTTCTTTTTCTTTTCGGTCTGCTATTTCATTGCTCATTTGGCTGACATGGGCTCATGTCCAATGCAGTTTTGGTATTAGTTTTTGAGGAAAATTTGTCAGTAGTAGCTGAATTTCTTGAATTAGTGGTGATTGGTGTTGTCTGTTATAGCTTGTATTCCAGAGGCACAATCTGTGATAATAAGACTTCTTTCTGAGAATTGTTTTATGAATTTTATTTCTTCTTTAATGGCTAGTAGTTCAGCTTGAAAAACTGAATTATTATTATTCAATATTGTACTTTTTGATTTGGGTACCATTATGATAAGCACTACCACTCCTGTTTCTGTTATAAAACCGTCTATGTATACATGTATTGGAAAATATTTTTCTGTTGTAGAACCGTCTGTGTATACATGTATTGGAAAATATTTTTCTATTATAGAGCCGTCTGTGTATACATGTATTGGAAAATATTTTAAGGATGTTTAAAGTATTAGATTTTCCATAAACACTTGCAAGGGATCTATGTCAAATTTATATTTCAGATCTTCATAGTTGGATGGAAGATAAGTATTATTGTTGAAGTATACTGTTTGTTTTAGTTTTATAATTTTCATTTTAATGGCTTCTTTTCTTGTGTTTAAAGTTATTGGTGGGATACATGTAATAACTTGTAAATAGCAATGTGACAAAAATCAGTCTTCAAGTGGTGCCAAAAACAGTTAATTTCTGTTTTTAGGTTATTGCGATCTATGGGCTTTATTTAAAAAAACAACAGTCAACCAGCAGCAGAACAGTGAAGTTACTAAATGCTTGTAGTTAAACCTTGGCCCAATTCCAAGCTGACAGGCTGGCTGCAGAAGCATTTTTTATGGTTTTTCCCTATCTGTGATGTGGCTATGAGACAATTACCTTTCGAAAGTCCTCCATTGAGGCATCCCTTCAATTAGGCAGACATCATTGCTTTGCCATAATCACATAAACCAAACAATAACAATCATGCTTATTTTTTTCTGCTTTAAATTTCAGAAATCTCAGTAGAATGTCAAAAACAAAAAAAAAAAAAAAAAAAAAAAAAGTTTTAAATTTAGTTAAGTGTTAAGTTAAAAAGTGTTAAATTAAAAAAGTGTTAAGTTAAAGTGTTAAATTAAAAAGTGTTAAATTTAGAAACACGACTAAGAGTTACTGAAGATGTCACCAACATTCTCTCACAAAGGAAATTGGCAAAAATGTGTAATAAATAGTTGATATTAATAAGATAGTTAATTTATTTTATGAAATTCAGAATGTTTTAGGAAAGAATAATGGGAAAAAAATTGCATTCTAATGAGTGCTTTAAAATTATTAAATGTACTTTGTCATGTAAGATTTCTGTAGATTTTCCCCCTTTACACTAAAATCTGTTTTTTATGTTTTTAAATATAATTTTTTAAAGTAGAGTAGAAAATTTAGTTCAGTAGTATTTCGATGATTCAATTCACAAATGCCTGTAATGCGCACATAATTTTGAGAAATTTAGCCTGATAAATTAATCAGCACGTTTTTCTTACATGTATATGCAAATTAATTTTTTAACAAAAACTTGTTATATTTATAAAATATTTAGATTGAAGAAGCAAATTAATTTTATCACTAATGTTATTTAGCATGTTGTGAATGGCATAATTTCACTCACCAATCAGGGTGAATCAAGCATGTGATGATGTCATGTGATGAACTAATACATTTGAATTCTTGTGAACATGTAACTATGTAACTTCTTGGTAACTAGATGTAGTCAGCAAATGTTTGTATTCAATATAAATTTTCATTTAATTAAACTGTGTTTTGTTATGTGTCTTAGTATCTCTACATTTTAGGAGTTACTGAGGTGAGGTAAGGTAAGGTAGATGTTGCTTACTGTGTTACTTTTCAGAGCTAGCCTTCATTGTGAAATGTGCAGCATAAAATTACATTTTATGTGCAGCATAAAATTACATTTTATGTGCCTGTGTCAGCATACTCGTGTGTTTGTTGTGTCAGCATTAACACCTGTGGCTATTCATGATTTAAATTTATTATCAAAGTTTTTTTGCTTTGGACAAACCCTTATTTTTGAGTGGATACTGCATTGTTTCTTTATTTGCATTTATACATACATCTAAAATTTATGGCCTTTGTCAAGTATTTATATGTCTACAATTTTTCAGATGTTGCATTCAATTATATGCCGTAACAAACATTGGCAGCTAATAAGGATAGATTCTCGAAAGTACAATAAATACAAAATTTTAGTTCTATAAGTTTTATTTAACTGTACTTTCACAAAATATGATGGTAGAATTTTTAGGTGAATTTAGAGAATTCTTGACTATGGGTAGAGGGTTGTTTGTAGCATATTTAAAGCATAAAAGTTACTTTTAAAATAATTTCATTGGAGGATGTACAATTTTTGTACATAAAGTTTTTCAGTGTGTTTGTACTTCATTAAGGTTTCCACATTTCTTCACTGTGCTTACTGATATTTTCTTTTTTTGAATTGGATTAAAATAATATAGTAGTTTTATATTCCATAAATCGTAATTAAATAAGTTAAGATATATTTTAGTTATTTATGTACATATAATCTAAATTTAATTAAAAGAAAAAGTGTAAACAGGGTTCGTAGCGGTCCTTATAAGTGCTTATAAGTCCTTATATTTGAAAATAAAATATAAAGGCCCTTATAGGTGCTTACTTTTTCTTTAAAGTCCTTATTTTTTTGTTTTTAGTGCTTATTTTTTTGCTTTTAGTGCTTTTTTTTTTTTTTTTTTTTTTTTTAACCTTTGGTGTGCACAAAGAGTACAGACAGGTGCCCATCGTTCTATTGGTCAAAGAATTGCGAAAGCAGTAGAAAATTCCGCTACATTCGGCATTCTTTTCCTCCCACCCAAATACTACACACATTTGAATTTCTATCAATATCTTAAAAATTTGCATTCTCCTGCTGCTTGGTCAGTTCGTATTCGTGTTTATTGTGATCGTTATGCTTATATTATGAGCATATGTATGATGTTTATAATAACTACTGCAGTAACTGCTGAAGTATAGTAAACTTCCAAAAATGGTTGTGTTTTAACACAGATTAGTTTTCTAAGAATAATATCGGAATGGTTTAAATAAGGGAAAGTAATCGAATAGTCAAAATAATTCATTTGTTTGGCCAATACATTATACAGTACGAAGGTTGGGAGGTCTCCCCTTTCTCTGCAAAATCTTGAATATTGAAACTGTTACAGTTCGCTGCAAAACAAGCAACGAACCTTTTTTTTCGGGGGGGGGTGTCACTTTCCAATCCTAGTCCTGCGGTCTACCAACCCAAGCGAAGAATGATTCTATTCCGGAAATTTAACGCCGTCTGTTGAAAATTAGAATGAAAAACACCCCAGTTATTTAGTTCTTTTTTCTCCCAATACCGGCAGTTGTTGATTCCGATTGTGTAATATCACGTAGGGAAGAATTACGGCGCACGTATTGCGCAATAATGTTTGCGATATTTTGCAGAGATAATTAATTTTTATGTTCAGTCCGAGATTTGTTTATGAGAACTTAAAAGAGTTTTACTGTGCTTGCTAAGTGGAATATTTTTTAGTTCCATTGGTTTATTTTTATATGATGCACATATTGAAATGTCAAAAGCATTTATTTAGCAGAAAAACCTAAAGGGCGGCTACAGTCTACCCCCCCCCCCCCCACTCTGCTCCTTCAAGTTACGCTCGACTGTCCGAATATTCGCCAATTTCCAAGTATGCGGGTTAGTTAAGCTTTTACTGTTAAAGATGACTGCATGAAGCAAATTTCTGTCTTCTGATTACAGAAATGTTCCTCTTTTTTACTTAAATTACTTTGCTTGCAATATCTGTTAAGAAAACTGATACAATGAAAATTTAGAAAATGTTCAGAATTTAGATTTAAATTATTGAAAATCAATATGAGTGGAAAAATAAATTTTATTATTATTAGGTTCCAAGCGAATACAATAAATATTCCTTATTATTATTTATTTTCTCTATTTTGAACTGAAATTTCATCATTAAATCTTGTAATATAGTTTAGTTCTCATAGTTTTTTTTTCCTCTCATTGTAAACTAGTTCTGTAAATTGAACTATTATTTAAAAAAAAAAATAATAAAAAAAATTTAAAAAAAAGTAATTATTTTCCATGGTTGAGGTAATGCTTATTCTCTCTTAATAAGTACTTCATTTCTCATATTTTAAATTACAAGTCTAATTTTTAAGGTTATGCAGTTGTGTATGATGTAATTAGGCGGGTGCTTATTTTTTTTCTTAAAATGTGCTTGAAAAGTGCTTATAGTGCTTATTTTTTTAACTAAAATGTGGCTATGAACCCTGTGTAAACAAAACTTAGAAAGAATGTCTTATAATCAGTTAATTTCATTATAAGTATAACTCTTGGTTCTAAGACATGCAGATTATCAGAACTCGATAAATTTTTTCCAAAGGACTTTTTTAAACTTCATTTTTGCTACTTCTCTAGTGATTAATTTGCAATTTGTTAATATAACAATGTTTATAAACTGTGAACAAAAGAAAGCAATTTAAAAAAATATAAACAAATTAAATCATAAATAATTTATTAACTCTAGCTGCCTTAAAAGCAGCAGCCAAATCAATCATAATTTATAATTAAAAATGCAAGAAATTTGCTGTTATGAATTAATAAATGGTACAGAAATGCGTAGGCATATTTGCCGGAATATAAAGTAAGATGATAGTAAGGTCTCTTTCTAGTAGGAATTCATAATAAGAGTGAAAAATTCGATATATGTGTCACAAATTAAAGGTCTGAAAATATTGTTTAACAATATTAATAAACAATAATAATTAGGTAGTAAGTAACACAAACCCTAGACGAAAACAAAGTTGCACATAAATGATAAGGGTGGGAGATAAAAAGAAACATAAATAGACTAATACACTAACCTACTTCAAAATGTTTCTTTAACGATTTTTAGAAGCCTTGAACAAAATAAATCCGTAAGTGAGTAAAAAATAATTACATTTTATTTTATAAAAGTATGATATAAAATTTTATTAAAGTGTTTCTTTTATTAAAATTTTTTAAAAACTTGCAAAATATCAGGTACGATAATTCCTGTAGAATATTGGTCAACAATGGCAAGTCTTTCAGAAATTCCTGATTTAAGAGTCAGTTTTGAAAAACTTTTAGATTTATTGTTTGATGCAAAATGCTTGTATAAAGCTGGATAGTTCTTCTACATAGCAGAAACTGTTCATGAACTACTTGCTGTTCTTGCCTGGCTTCAGCAATTCTTGCACCCCACAAAAATTAAACATATTAATCCAAAGCAAATATACTTTTATTTAATTGTGGCTTATGAGAATACCTTAGCTGCCACCCTTTGGATATCACTGCCTTAGATGGCTGCTTGCTAGACCTGATGCTGCTTGTCATGGTCCAGACACACTACTGGTTTTTAATATTTTGATGCCATTATTAGTAATAACTTAATAATGGTATACTATGCAATTTACTGCTTTAATTAGCTATATATATATATTTTTTATATATAATGGTGCCAAAATTGGTTGTTGTTTTAATCATTTCTTTTTCCAGCCATTTATCATACATTCAGATTTAAAAATAGCATTTCAGTGATGCTTTTTAAGAAATAACTTACTAACTAAGAGCAGTATATTAATAACCTTTGAAAGTAAAAATTTTCAAATTGGTTTAGTCCCCAGGTAGTTGCATACCCACCTAAAGCAGAGAAGAAAAAATCTAGAATTGAAAAATTGGGTGTTGTTGTGGTTGAAAAAGGAAATAAACTTTTGATGATGCGACGACCAGAGAAAGGTTTGCTTGCTGGTTTATTGGAATTTCCTAGTGTTATTTTTCCTGAAGATGCAAGTGTCAAAGAACAGTCTTCTGCAGTTGATCAAGTCCTCATAGAAATAAGTATTCCAATCGCTTTACATTCTTCAAGGAAGTACATTGGCAAAGTAAGGATTTTTTAAAGTTTTGTTTATGTTTTACTTAATTAATTTTGTTGCGTGTCTGTCACATTTATTATTGGTTGATATGCATTATTATATGTTTACATATGCCGAAGTATGAAATACTACTATAAAGGTAATACAGTCAAAAGTTGTTAATTCGCACACCCATAATCTGGAATGATCTATAATCCGGACCTCAAAGCTAAAAACTTTCTGCGCATGCGCCGCGTTGACACATGCGCATAGACGTTTACATGTGCGCATAAGACTTTTACGACTGCGCATATGCATGTGCGCAAGCGCAGAATACGTTTTTGCGTGCACGTTTAATGTATAACGGACGGCATAAGCTAAAATTATCTAATTATCTATTTCAGTTAATGTTGATGATTGCGTTGTTCCTTAATCTTTTGAATTGGATCCGGCTTATTATTTTTTTTTTGCAGACTATAAGAGCAATTTTATAAAAGTAAACTTGAACTTTCGATTATGTCAAATAGAATTTCCGATGCTGGAGCTCCCAAAGGATCTACAAAACGAAAGTATGTTTCGATGTCCATCAAACAAAAAGTGGAATTGCTGCAAAAAATGGATAAAGACATGACGAAGGTGACAGAGAGGTTAGTGAAAACGAAAAAATTTCGATTGACAAATTAGTCGGTATTCTCGGCACAGCAATTACAGGACTCGAACAGCGGAACTTTGTAACTGAACAAGAAATTATGTCTGTTTATAGAATTAAAGAGAAAGTATTATCACATAAAACGAAGCAACTTAAACAACTTACATTGAAAGAAATGTTTAATAAAGTAAACAAATAAATATTAAGCTTTTTTTTTTTTTTTTTTTTTTTTTTTTTTTTAAATTTTCATAACCTTTAGAACATAATTGTTCTTTATTTCATAAATTACGGTTTCATATTTTTAATTTTGTAATTTTTGCATGCCATCTAACCAGATTTAAACTGATGATCTATAATCTGGAATCGCCGAAGTCCCGACGAGTCCGGATTTGTAGGTGATCCCTCTAAATGTAACCAGTATTTCTGAGAACATAAATATCAGTATTGATACTTAAAATTTTCTTCTGTAAAATGATTACTCTTTAGCCTAATTAAGATTATGTAAAATATTCATTATTGGATCAGTAAAATGTTTTAATTGTGTGTGAACCTAAAATATAGTGAGCCATCTCTTAGATGGCCACCTATAGTATGTCAGATGATTTTGTTCTCCTTTGGAAAAAATTGTTTTACAGGGAAGCTTCCCAACCTTGAACTATAAATTTTTTTAAACAAAGAGTATGAATCTACCTGTCAAGAAATGCATAATAGTGAAAGAATGAGCTGCTCATATTATATAGAAAGTCCAAAATAAATTGTTTCTTAGAGGGTTTTTGATTGACAGTGGTGAAATTTTTGACAAATTTGATCACCAATAGCAAACTTTCCAATGAAAGCTTAAAATTTCATGAAACAGTGCTGCATCACCAGATGAAGTTAGGCTTGTACATTTTCAATTTCTCATTAACAGTGATGTAGCAATAATTTTTTTAATATAATTTAACTCTAAATGAGAAAAAAAAAATCAGTTGTAGTTGTTTTCTGTATTTCTTCGTTACCAATAATTTCAGTTAAATTTTCCTTAGTTTTTCAGTAAAATTTTAATCTGAACTTGCATAAACTTTAAGCTGATTTGAAAGAAAGAGTATAATACATTTCAAAGCTTCAGAAAGAAAGCTATTGAGTAAATCTTAACTGCTAAATTCCTGTAGATAAAACAAAATAATAAAATAAAATGTATTTACTTACCAAAGGCAAACTTCCTGTAAAGGTTTGCCCAGCTCTAAGAATTCTTTTCATTAGATAGCCTTGATTCAAGAAAATATTGATATCAAGTTTTGCCTTGCAAACACTGCAGTCTGTCCTTTGAATCAAAGTCTTTAATCAGCTTGTAACATTCTATTATGTTAATCTAACTAGTTATAATTTAGATTTTTATTGTCACCTCTCCTTTCCATACCATAATGCAAATTATTTTGAGAGTATTCAAGGTGAGGTTGTTAGCTTGTGAGACAGGATGTATTTCTGCCTCTCAAGGCCACATTACTAGCTTGCTTAGGTTTAAGATGTTTTACCTAGCTCGAATAAGACTATATTCTTCAGCTTTGTGTTAAAGTTGCCGACATTTAAATTGTTACGCTTTTGAGAAGTTTCAGCCAACTTCACATTAAGTCATTTGTGTAGCCCTTAGCTACTAAGTTTGAAATTTCAGATTTCTGTGTAGAGAAATTAGGTTATTTTTAAATCAGGAGATGTGAAAAATGAGCAAATGCTTTCACACAGACTCGAACCTGGATCTCTCAAATATGTATCGTGTTAACTGTTACCTTGAAATATATGTAGAAAGAAGGTAGAAATAACCTTATCACTGTTACTTTAAATTACATCACCACAAGTGGTTTGCTGATTTGTAAGCATGAGTCATGCATTTCTGTTTTAATGCTGATTTAATTAAAAGCTTTGTTTTAAAACTTTCTTATGGCTTTGTAGTTTTTTCTGATGAAGCAATAATTCTCCCCGAGTCTGTTAGGAGTTTGGACATATTGCTGTCAATAATTTGTAATATTTTTTGGGGGGGAAGGGCAAGATACAAGTTTTTTTTTTATTTACGTCACGTGAAGTTGATTGCTAAAGTCTAAAAATGAAGGAGACGGGAATTTCAATCTAAATTATGTCTTTATTTGAATTTATAAATACTTACAACATGGTGGTATATTATTTCAAATTATACATCCAGGCACTTGAAATTGACAGACAGAAGAAGATATTTAAATGAAAAATATGATTTCTGAAATTTAAAAGTCCAAGGAAAATTACTGATGATCAAAAAATAAAACCTCTCCCTCAGTTCCCTTCAGTTCTGAAAATGAATTAGGTAATACATCTGAAAGTAAATTCATATGTATTTCATCAAATCAAGACTGAAGGAAGGAAATCAAAGCCTTAATTATATATTGTGGGACTATAAGAGAAAGAAAATGGTTACAGTTCTGGTGATATATATATATATATATATATATATATATTATATATACACTCCCGATTATTAGTGGAATTGGGTGGCGCGGCCGCCGCGGATAACAAAAATCGTGGATAATCCGAAAAAAGCTAAAAACGGGTATAGCAAAAGAGAAAACAGTCATTCCAACTTTGAAAAATCGTTTTATGTACAATAAAACATAAAATAAACAGCAGGAAATGTTTAACTAACGCTTATTATTTTAGTATATCACTCAAAACTAACCTAAAATGCATTATGTTAATGAAAACAGAAAAGTGCTTTGTACTAACAAGAGGCATTAAGGATACACAGAAAAATTAAAACATATATACTGTTTTAATACCGTAATGTATTATGTAATTACAAAAGCGTAACTGTAAAACTACACCTTTTAGAAGAAATCAGTCATTTGTGTTTGCTTCTTGCTTTGGAAGCATTTTCTCTTGATCCAAGATTGCATTTTTCGTAGCATAAGTTTCTCGGCCAACTCCGCGTCGTCTTGTTCTTCCAAATAGCTCAGCAGTCCGTCGACTTGTTGCAAAGCCGCTTCGCGAGTCTTCCGCATCTGCACAGTAGGCTCTTCTTCGCCTTCACTTCGCTCTCCTTCATTCTCGGTCTCTTCCCTTGCTTTCTTCACAATTTTGTCATCCGTCAAGCGTTCGAAGCCAGGTTCGTTGACGTTACACTCCAACCACTCGTTAATGTTTTCAGCATCGACGTTCTCACCAATTGGAACTGTTTTCACCATACCGGCAAGTTACCGTGGGCATGTCTAAATCTTCATTCTCTTCTTCACAACTCAAGGGGGTTAGGTTGTTGTTGGCTTCAACATTAGGCATGAGTTTTCTCCATGATTTTATGAGGGTTGACGGTTTCACTGAATCTCATGCAGATGCAATATCATAGATGCTGTCCAAGATTGCGTAGTGTTTCCAAAATGCTTTCAGATCATAACCTTCTTCAATTTTGGTCATTAGCAGCTTGGTTCGGTATGTTCTCTTCATTTTTGCAATGGCTCCTTGGTCCATGGGCTGGATTAGTGCAGTAACGTTAGGGGGGAGAAACTTTGCAAACATTTGTCCATCAGAAGACTTTAGCACGCTTGTTGCTTAGTGAGAAGATGCATTATCGATCAATAGCACAGTTTTTTCAGGCAGGTTTTTCGATTTAAGATGTTTACGCACTTGAAGAACAAAGATTTTTTCGAACCATCTTGAAAAACGTTTCGGTTCATCCATCCTTTTTTTTTTTTTTTTTTTTTTTTTTTTTTGTTGTTGTTGTTAAAGTAATCAACGGGCAAATTTTTTAGCCTTGTGCCTTTGAAAGATCTCGTTTTTTTTTTTTTTTTTTACTTTCCCATGACAACAAGTCTAAGTTTATGTCCACCGGTAGCGTTACTACTGCAAGACATGATAGTGATCCTTTCCTTTGCTGCTTTTATGACCCCCTGCCGCTTTACTTTCACTTTCAGATGCTAAAGTGCGAGTGGGAAGATATTTCCGCAAAAGTCCCGATTCGTCGGCATTGTAAATTTGTTCAAAAGATAGGCTCTTCTTTTAAAACAAATTCTTCAAATTCATGGTGGAAATTCGTCGGCTGCTTGTTGGTCACCACTAAGTTTCTCCCCATGAAGTCCAATTTCTTTCTCGAATTCCATGTCGCTGCTTAAAACGAGTCAAGCCAGCCAGAAGACGCATCAAAATTTCCTATTCAGGCCTAACAACTCAAAAAAGGTTTTTGCCTTCCCCCTAAGTGATAGGATCATTTACAGAAGTACCCTCTTTTCGAACTTGAGCTAACCACTCTGTCAGTGCCGTGTCTAGCTCATCGAAGGTAGAACCCTTCATATTTTTTCGCGTTTTCATTGTGGAAGCACTGTCCGACATTGATGCAAAGTTCACCAGTTTGTCTTTAGAGTGTCACGCACTGTTGTTTCCGTGA